AATGACAGGTTGGCAGAAAAAAATATTTGAAGAAAAATAATGGTCAAAATTTTCACTACATTTCTTTGTAATCAGCAGCCCAGAGACCCAGGAACCTCAGAGGGGCCGAAGCAGGACAAGTATGAAGAAGACACTCAGGTACATTATAAACAAAGTGCTGGAAAAAAACCCAAACACGGAGAAAATCTTAAAAGCAGCCAGAAAAAAGACATGCTACATACAGGAGACTAACAGTAAAAATCAAAACCATCAGGAAAGCAAACCAAATGGAACAAAGCAAACAAACAAAAAAAGATGGAGGCCAGAAGACAAATGAACAACATTTTAGAAATTCTGAAAGCCTGACAAGTTAGAATCCTAAGTCCAGCAAGAATACCTTTGAAAAGTAAAGCCAAATAAAGGCATTTTCAGATAAACTGAGGCCGAGGGACTGTGCGGCCAGCACACTAGAAATGGTACAGCCGGCTGTGGACTGAGGTAAAATGATGCCAGGAGCAGTGTGGCTCCACCCAAACAGATGCAAACCACTGGAAATGATGCAGATGTGAGAAACTATGACAGGTTATCTTTTTCTTTTCAAAAATTCTTTAACAATCATTAACTATTTAATGTAAAATACTAGCAACCTGTGTGGTATAAACAACACACACAGTAGCATAATATTCAACAACAACAGAAGAAAAGATAAAAAGGTGTATGAAGGAATTCTGTCTCTTTAAGGATTTTACATCCTACAGAAATGGAATAATATTAAACCAGGTGGACTGATGAAGACGCAGATTCATGTAAACTCAAGATCAACCACTTGAAAATGTAGAGGTAGCACGATAAACGCCAATAGAAAATACAGAACAGAGCAGTAGAGGAAATAATTAAGTCAAGTGAAGACAGGAAAGGAGGGACAACGAACAAGGGTTAAAGAGAAAACAAACAAGGTAATGAGACAAACACAAGTATAATTACACCGAATGCAAACGAAGGACAGTCCTGAAGGAAGCAGTGATTGAGCCTCACCTACGCTGACTACAAGCCACACTTAACATATACATATACAGATGCAGATGGGGAGGCTGCAAAGGACTGAAAAGAACAGACATGCCAGCAGGAATCATAAGAAAGCTGGTGTGGCTGTTAGACACAGAGCACGTTAAGGCAAGCAGTATTACCAGAAAAAGAGAGAATTAGCTTCGCAGTGACAAGAGGATGTCACAAAGATACGACAAATACAAATGCATAAGCACCTAGTAACAAAGTTTCTAAACACATGAAGCAAAACGGAGAAGTAATAAAAATTCATAACTTTGTTTATATTGGAAACTGTATTTCTAGTTAAAAATGGGAAAAAATACATTCGCAAGTGATAAAATCTATACAACAATCAGTATAGTTTTACCAAAAGAGTAACAGAACCTGTGTAAACAAATTATATAAAATGTTATTCAAGGCTAAAAAGTAATGCCAATGTTTTTGGGTAAGAAGAAAATATACTTTGATTTACAAGCGAAGAAATAAATGCAATATAACTGCATCCAAAATCCCAGGGTGGATGTTTTGAATCTGAAAACAAGCCTGATAGAACATTCTTTCTCTTTTTAAGTATTCACAATGAAGGAGACAAAGGGTCATGATGTCATAATTTATAAGGAAGCTACACAGCGGGGAAATAAAAGGTAAATAAAATGTATTGAAATGTTAAACATTCTTAAATATGGGTATGAGTAGATGTTTCAGTATAATTTCTACTTTGCTTAAGTTTGAAAATTTTCTTATAAAAATGTAAAAAATGTATTTACTAAGTAACAATTTCCATGAAATTTTTAGAAAGTAAATGACAGATGAAGGTTATCTAACCAGGTATGTAGGATAAATTTCAATTTACTTACAGTAATCAAAACAGTATGATCACAGTTGAGGGCTAGATAATTAGCATTTAAACTGCTCAAGGAGTCCACAGAATTATTTGGGTTTATATGAACACTTCAATTCAGTGGAATAAATGGATTATTAATTAAATGTTATTGATTCAACTCATCAGGAAGAAATAAAAATTATGTTCATAAAAATATAACTCCAGAAGCATTAAGTTCTAACTATGAAAATTAAAACTATAGAAATACACACAAAAAATTTTAAGTACTATTTATATTACTTTGAGGATAGGGGAAGCCTTCATAAGCAAGACAGGAAACCAGATTTGATAAAAAAAAAATAACAGATTTGACCTCACGAAATTAAATTTCTTTGTAGTTAAAATTTTTGGAAAGCACATAAAGAAAATGCTTGTAACATATAACACATAAAAATTTAATATCCTTAACAAAAATATAGAATGCAAACTGTTTTATTAAAAAAGTAAACAATTCAACAAAAAATACACAAAAGTTATGAATAGACAAACAGAAGTAGGAGGAACAGTTAACAAGCATGGAAAGATCCTTAATGCAGTGGTTTATCGGAGAACGGCATATTGAAAGAGAAACAGTTTCACTCCTGCGTTAGGAAAAGTGTGACTTTCTGTAGTTGTTTTAGAAAATTTAACATGTGTCTAAGTTTGTAGCATCATACGCGATATGATATATATTTTTTAAAGGACTAGTAGGTAAGACTTTATGAGAGTTTACTGCAGAATTATTTACAGTGCAAAACTCTAGAAACATCTGATCAAAAAGGGAAAGGTTTAATTAGCCTTTTGCTAGTATCCACGCTACACGATGAGACAGAACTTAACAGAGCCAAGCGTCTGGTGCACAGTCTGCCCTCCTCGTCTGCGGTGCTGCATCCGCAGACCCACCCAGCCTCGGACGGTGCCCTAGTTTACGATCGCTGGTGCTTGAACCCGGAGGCGCAGAACCCCCGGCACAAGGGCTGGCCGAGCGATCTAGGGACTTGCACCTCTGATTTTGTTACGGCGGTGGTGTCCTGGGAACCATCCCCTGAAGAGACTGAGGAAGGCCTCTAGTCACATTTTTGTTTTAAAAAAGGAAAGAGAAAAACATATATTTGTGCATATGTACTGTGTACAGACACACAGCTTTGAAAATACAGGAGAATGCATCGATGGTATGGCTCCTGACAGGCTGGGGTTCTGGGGTGTGGGGCCTGCTGGCAGTGTGTAAGTTTCTCATGGGCAGTGTGTGGACAGGAGGGTGACCGCACCAACCGTCGTAGGCCATTTCGTAAAAGAGACGTCAACACTGCTGGACCCTTGTGTCTGCAGGGGCTGTTGGAATGCATCCTGCCCCCACCCTCATACTAATGGAAGACTGTATCACTATTTTTCTTGTTTATGCCTCTGCACTCTCTGAATTGTTAAAACAAATATGCATTACCTTTAAAACTATTAACTGTCAGATGATTTAGTCATATAGGCTGTACAGTGTGCATCACTAACAGGTCTATGTGCATTAAGCACCAAGTATATTATTTGCAATTAGATTAAACATTTTTCTGTTTTATAATAATTTTATTATTGTAATCATTTTGCTAAAAACATACGCAAGAGACTCAATACTATTTACACAACTCATTTATAACCTAAAAAATAAAAAATGTATGCACATGGGTTCCAGCAAGCCACAGAACACTTTCATCCAGGGCATATTTCTCAAGTCTCATAATTGTCCTAAGAAAGAGAACTGGGCACAAACACCTGTCTCTACAGGTCTTAGTAAAAAACCTACACACAAAATGTGCCAGAGGCACAGCCACACCAGGGCAGTAAGTCCCAGGCCCCCCCGCAGGCAGGCGGAGCAGGCGTGCTGGGAAGGACATCTGCGGGCACTCACCCTTGCCCCATTCTGGGAGGGCCTGGGGATGTGTCCAGACTGCCTGACATGGAAGTGAGATTTGTTTGTTTTCCTCAAAGAGGGTTCTCCAAATTGTAGATGTTTCAAGCTCTGCCAAGTCTGGATCTGCCCCTGTTTGTAGGTGAACTGGGTCACCAACAATTGCTGTTTATAATCACAGACATGGACACCATTATATTCTGTGGAGATCATATTCCTGAAGATGTAAACTTTGTGACACGTCTATGATCATTTGCAAACCTGATGTTTTGCATTTGAGTACCTGAGTGAATTGCCTTTAAGAACCTGAAAGCAGATTCCTCTGGAAAGAAATGTTACAATCCTACATTAATGGATCACAGAGGAGGTACCCAAAGCACCTGAAGAAAGAGCACAAATTCAAGTTGGGCAGGACTAGAACAGAGCCAATGAGCAAGTGCTAAAGGTGGCGTCACTTAAGGTGGACTTGATCAGACGTGGAGACAGCAAAAGGGAAGTCCTGGAAAGAAAAGCTGGTGGTACCACCTACACACTGGTGAGGGGAAGACTGAGGCCTCATGGACAGATGGGTGGACACATTTCTGAATCCACCAGGCAAGTCACGCCTTCTCAGAACAAAAGGAATCAAACTAACTTAGCCTGATGCCACTAGAACATTTAAGTAATCTAATTCTCTTTGTTCTGACTCCAAGTTCAAACAAACCGTGGATTGCCACCTGGCTTCCTAAACGATTACGACCACACTGAATGCCAATATTCTGATGCTTGTGACTAAAACATATGTGTGTCGATAAATAAATGGAATTCCAGATTTAGGTATCAGTCACACTGGCTCAGTCAATAAGATGTGGACTCTGATGAATCCATCTTCATTTGCTTTTGAGTCTGTGAGGCCAATAACCAAACTCTGGACTGTGATACATTCAAGGAGAGAACTCTGAGAAGATGGTTTCCCTTTGAAAATACCCACCCCATGTGACCAATTTAAATTCCAATTCATGTTTGAATTATCCTCACAGCACACAGTCAGCAATCGTGTCAAACAATGAAATCTCTAAAGTAAACGGTAAGTGCACATCAAACAAAAACACATACTTTTTTTTTACATTTCTTCTTTCAAACATGGAGTTATGCCAAATTACATTCTGTTCTTAAATATAAATTTATTCCAGATAACACTTCCTGGGCTTCTAGGCTTTTAAAAATTATTTTTACCTATGTGATTGGTTATTAAGGTTTAGCGATCCGGTCTGGTACATCTCTTCCAACTGTTTCCTGTTTCCAAAGTACAAAGCAAGGTCTGTGGCAATGATGGCTTTGCGGATGATCTCAAGCACCTGCTCATATTCACTGGAGCTCAGGGTGGAGAAGATATTGTGCCCTTCCAACTACGGAAAAAATACAAATAAACACCACCAATAACAAGCACAAGCTCCAATCTTATGACATTTTCAGTTACTTGAAACAATATAGTCAGTCAACGGCAACTGGTCATGACAGTTTTGGGGGGAACAAAGAGCAGTTTGAAACGATGAATGAAATTACCGTTCTGGTTTCTCCTTAAGGTACAACAGCAAAGCTACCACTTAAATGAACTGTTTCAACTACATAACATTGTTTCCCACCACAAAATCCTCGCGATTTAAATATCTCCCTGGTTTTTGGATATTTCTAGTAAGTAATTAAAGGACTGGAAAATGTAAATATTTAAGTACAAGATTTTTCCTTTTAAACTAATTAAAAGCGTCAGTAATTTTCACATTATACTGGAAATTAACGGGTTTCAAAAGCCATCTATATCCTTGTCCACTTCTGCAAATCTAATGAATAATAACATATTTTTTCTGTATCCCAGAAGAAAATGTCCCATGACCTGAAAATAAAATGAAGGCATATTAAAAACTCTCCCTACAGGCAAGAATGCTTTCACATAAAACATAAGTCACTGAGGTGCAAAACCTGTATGGCTACTTTCTCTTCTTCTGTCCTCATGGGATGTGGACACAGCAGATCATCGCCCTGGACAAGACCAGACACTGGTCATGTGGACTCTACCATCTGAGAAATTTTCTTCTATATATGAATCTTTTAAAGACTTTTTACAATAATTTGTTTCTCAGAATTTGGAGTTTTTATTTGTAATTGAGATTAAAATGGGTTATTTTTGTTCAAACAGAAAAAGTGGAGATTCAATTTGTGGATTCATTATTTTTAATGACTTATTAGTCAACACAGTCATACTAGAAATTGATTCTTAATCGTTTCCACTTGTCTTAGGCTACATTTATTGGCTGATAAAAGACATTAAAATCTTGAAATTATTAAAGTATAGTTTTTTACAAAACTGGACACCTCACTAAGATACTGTCTACTTCCTATTACTCTGACATGTCTGTATGTGCATCACTTATTTTCAATCATCAGAATCTTTGTGTCATCTACTTTTAAGGTATTATGTTTATATTTAAACTATTCTATCATAAATGCAACAAATGGAGTTGGTTCTTTTCCTGACAATGGCAAGAGTAAGGACTTGAATTTGTAGAATGCTCTAAGGTTATAAATCACTTTCAAACACATGATTGCACTTTCAAATTATAAAATTTAAATAACTCTTTGATATCTAATTGAAACAAAGTATCTGCTCAAACATGGTCAAAAATTTTATTTGACTAAAGAGAAACTGCAGTGTTTATATAAAACTGGCTATTTCAGTAATTTTCAGTAATGCAATCCATTTGAGGCAGTCTTCAGAAACACAATAGAGTCAAAGAGGTGGGCATGGTAAGGCCGGACTTCAGCTCAACACGAGGAAGAACCACCGAAACGTTCTGAGTTACCAGGTGAACTCTGCGTGCGATGCTGTGGGGGGACATTCAGGCACAGGCTGGTTAGTAACCAGCAGAGATGAGGGAAAGGGATTAAGGCACCGGGAAGGTGGCCGAACTCAATCGACTGTCAAGCCCCTTTCAGCCTCAACTCTACACTCTTATTGTAGAAACTTACAGGAAAGAAATCTTTACTCTGGCCCTCGCTACAAAGTGTGCTTTTTCTCTGATCGTAACTCAGGCACAGCAGCTGGCCTCACACCGGACTCCTGTGACCTGTGCTCCCCCACCTCATAAACACGGTTCAGACTGTGCGTTTGGCTGGCACTCAGGCACACGTCCACTACCGGCAGGTCGTCTGAAGCGGGATCACGTGTGATGTGTATTTACATGCTTCATTCTCTCTATCACCAATCAGCTGTTAAATTACAGTGTGAAAAATATTCGAGCATGCAGTTAAAATTTATGTTTTAATCTCCCTAAAATAGGGACTTCTTAGCCTGGGGCCACAGAGGGATGAGCTCAGTGCAACTACACATAATACACTGAGGGTCTCATCCACAAGCACATGTTTTCATCAGATTCTCAAAAGTGTCCATGATCTAAGACAAATTAAGGCCCATTTTAAAGGATCTGTATATTCTGCTGGCTGTTTAGGTGTCATTATTTCTCTTACTACTTCACTTTTCAACGTTAGAGGAGAACTAAGAGGGAAAGTTCAGGAGTGAACCTTTGTAGTGAATGGCTGTATGAACTGGGACCCTCTCACTGCTTCCTTCAGCATTTCACAAGTGTGAAGGGAATAAACGATAAACAGTAAACGGCTCCTTCCCTCATGAGACTATAGTCTGTATTTATCAGCATCTTGCTCCTACCAAAACGAAAGAAAACCAGGGGGATACAGCAGCCAACCACAGCAGGTAAAGAGCTGCAAATCTTTCGAAAGCTCCAATGTCACACTGGTGAACAACCTAAGAAAACCTCATAAGATAATAAGATACTTCTATATACCAGCTGATGAGAGTATTATAGCTACTATCCTAGGTTACACTTTGAAGTTCGTATTAATTCAAGGCAGTTGATCCCATTTTGTATCAATCAAGCATAAAATAACAAGCATTTTATACTTAGAAATGTCTCTAAGACCCCAAGATGGGTGAGCAGCATGCAACTCTCCTGTCTGAGAGCTGATGGATGGGCTCCGTGTGCAAACGCTCTAAGGAGCCGCGACGTGTGGGCTGTCAGAGAATGTAAACGATGCTGCAGTGGTCCTGATGCTTCAGTGCTCCTCGGGGGCTCGTTGTGAGTGGCTGGTCTTTGAGGCCCCTGTGGGCTCTCAGACACCATGATGCTCAGCACCCTAGTTCACTGCTGGGGCACCCCTTTCTTGCCGGGGCTGTGTCTTCCCCATCACAAAAGGAAGAACATATGTCTCACCTCGCAGGTACTCAGTCTAGTGCTCCACTCTGTGTCAGGGTGTAAGCGGTTTAATGCCTAGCATACCCGAGACCCTGAACAGCATAAGCTCTTTTTCCTTAAGGAGCTCGCTGTTCAGTGGGAGAGACAAGCTATAAGCACACACAAAACCAGAGCGGGATGGTCTGCACGAATGGGCTGAGCGCTGACGGTGCAAGAGCGCGGGAGCCTCTTCCTGGGGGCGCCGTGAGCTCTGACGGACCCGACGGAGAGCAGGCGGAGCAGCAGGAGGCCGCGCGCGTTTGGGTCTGGTGGGGACCACAAACATTCCAGTGTGACTAAGGCGAATTTAACAGAGAAATGGTGAGAACTAAAGTACAAGTTTTAAAAAAAAGGCTGGATGCAGAACTGAAGAACAGCGTGGAAAGTAACATGGAGCCTCCGATGATTATGTAAGGTGGTGACGTGCAGAGCCCGTGGGTTACATGAGCCACTCCAGCAGTGGCGGGGACTGCAGGTCAGAACGAGGCAGCAGACAGATGATCAGTCCTCCTCAGCAAGCTCTTAAAATACCATTATTAATCATAAATTATTCTCCCCACCGCCTTATGCTGCTCAGAGATTAACAATGAAATAACTAATGATAAATAATTAATAATAAATAATAATAAAAGAGATTTCTGTGGAACGGCTTTGGAGCTCAGACTTCAGACCTGCACGCCAACCCATCCAGGCCTCGCCCCCAGCAAGCCTGCCCCCACTGGGCTGTGAATCACTGTCACTGGAAGCAACAGGCAGAGGCTGAATCTTTCTGGGGCTTTGGGATGAAAAACGTCAGTGACGCAACTAACTGCATCAACACTGACAACGACAGTGCCTTGAGAAGACACACAACCCTTACTTTGATTTCACTCTCCTACTGCATCAAACCACACACAGGAAACATGAGAGTGTTGTAACTAAGAACACAGGGTTTGGCGTCAACTCTAGTTTTCAGCATCCTTCTGCCACCTACTAGCTGTGTGACAACAAACAAGCTACTTAACCTCTTTCACGCACGTTCTCCTACGTGTAAAATGGAAATGAATAATAATACCTGCCTCATAGGATACCATAAAAATCAGACGCATTAACATGTGCAAAATTCTTACATTTCTGGTTTATGGTAAGTACCTGAGAAATGATGAAATGGTTGCTGTGATGATGGTGGTGAAAATGATGAGAAAATCTACCAGGATAACTTCCGCAGGCAGAGCTGGGGGAGCGGGGAGACACAAGCAAGCAAACAGACATGCCCAGAAGTGAACTTACAGCCCAAGACCACTTCCACTCAGAGCACATCTGTAGAAAAGGGTGGATTTCAGCTGGCCTTCATAATCAACTAGAACACTGTAGTTTCTTAGCAGGGACAGTGCTGAGTAGAAGCGTAACGCCTCTGCTACGACTGCAGTACACACAGCCTGCTCTGCCTCCTGCGGCTGGCGCTGCGCCGGCTACGTCCAGGAACGCTGCCGCCACAAAAGGCGATGGAAATGCCATGGGGTCCCAAAATGCTGGGTATAAAGATAACATTTAAAAAATCTAAAAACGTATTTCAAAAGCCCTAGATAATTCAGAATTAATGGAATGATGAGAACCTTTTCATAATAATTAAGTCATCATTCCTAATTGGTCTGTTTCCTCAAGTTTGACTTCTGCTCATTGAACATGGGATATTCACAGAAGGCAAAAGACAGAAATAGGGTCACTTCAGTATTCGAAATATCATTAACATCTTATTAGGAAAGTGATTTGAATATTACAATGAACAAATATGAATAGTAAAGTATTAAATGAGTATTAAAATGGATTTGCTGTTCCAACACTAATGGTTTCATCACCATTACTAAAAACACATGGCTAAGTTTTGGGTAAGAAAGTCCACCTACTTTCTGGTCACTGTCCACGTGCAATAATGTCCTTACCTGAAGCCATTCCACTTACATTCCCCTCCTGAGCCACCCAAACTCTGTCCTAAGGAGACGTTATCTGCTCACTTTCCCCTAAATGAGACTTAGCACACGCACACGCACACGCACGCACACGAGGCTTCAAGGAGGCCTGATGGGGGCTCTCTCTAACCATCACATACTAAGATTTGTATCTCCTATCCGGCCATGCTGTCAAAGGATGAACAGTTCCAAGAGCATGGCCCTCTGGTGGCCGCAGTGAATGAGTCTGTGCAGAGACCAGGGCGGCAGCAGGAAAGCCCGTCACCCCCGGGAGTGCGTGGACGGATAGGGCTGTCAGAGGTGCCCGTGAGGTGCAACGACATATTGTTCTGTCTCATATTTCAGTAACTGGATGTTGAAATTTTTACTGTTACCCAAGGAGACCACCCTCACTGGTCAAGTTCGGAGCTGTCCTGACAAAATATAAAACTGGCAGGTCTTGGCGACTGGGTGTGGGGGTGCTGGGGGTGGGGGGGTACTCTTCTAGGGTCACTGACCTGTGCAGTCGGTCGGGGGAATGAGGCACCACCACAGGAGGTAAAACGATCAGCACAATTCTGGCCACACCAGATGCCCAGTGCAAGCGTCTGGAAAAAGCATCTTACTGCACCCTCGGCTGACACGCAGGTATGAGGGTCAGGGCCTGCTAGGGTGAGGAGGAACCCCGGGCAGGCCGGGAGAGCGGGGAGGGGCTCAGCGGGAGGGCAGAGCTCCGGCCCCGACACCCTCGCTCCAGACCGGGTGCTGCAGGAGGGCAGGGCCTTGTGCTCTCGCTATGACTAGACCCCGGTCCCAAAGCGTGTGCCGGCCGCTGGGAGGCACCGGACAAGTGTGTTTGTTACAGAAATGAATTTCAAGAGGCAGTTAGATGGAGCTGAGAAGAAACACTCAGGGAAGTCTCATGAGCATGTAACATCAGCAGAGTGCAGAACTTTCCAGAAAAGGGGGGAACCCTTCCCGAATAACCCTGCTCATGGAGGTGGGGCCATGAGCTTCTGGCCCCCACGGTCTCTCCCTGTCACAGCTCACCCGGGGGGGGCTTGGTCAGCCCCGCATACGGGCTCAGGTTTTACCTGGTGGGCTCTTCGCCCGACTCTGCGGCCATGACCAGCCCTCCCATCCAGCCGCCGTCCTAGTGATCTCTTGAGAACCGTCTCTTCTCTGAAGACAGAAGAACGACTGTGCCCCTCGTTCTGCCTCGCCAGTGACTGAAATCCCTTCTCTAATGCTTGGAATCTAACTGCGCTCCCACAGCTTTGTGGGAGCCAACAGCTTGCTTGGACTTAACTTACTGCCGTGAGCTCCAGCGACGATGTTCGATCTCTCTGGGAACCCCGCACCAGGCAGCATGGCCCCTACGCTGCTGAGGGTTTGCTGAAAATGTGCAGGCCACTCAGAACCACCGCTGCTGTCCAGGGCAGCCAGCAGAGCGATCTTCCCGGCTGGAAGTCGGCCTCGGCTGGGTCCGACCGCCCCACTCCCGCCTGCTTTGCAACACCGCTAAGTCATTCGGTTTGCTTTACTCCAACTGGCAGCAATGTACTCTGCAATCCTGGTCTTTTAAAAAACTAATTCTACTGTATTTAAAACAGGTTTTCCGAAGAAGCATTATGAAGGTTATTGAAGTTCACTTGCAGATTAAATTCTCAGAAATGTCACAGTCAAATGAACAAATTCATTTGGGGCAGAAGATGAGCATGGGACTCAGTGAGCCCTAATCATCCCTAAATGGAGGCGTCCTGATGTCATTTCTGGAATTTATCCTCCTTCCTGTTCAAGTAAACAACCTCACATGATGAATAGGGGCAAAGTGCAGCTATAAACTGTCACAAAGTTCTACGATGTTTGTCTGTCTGCCTGTTCTAATGTGAGTGTCATACGTATACACGCACGCATCTATACTACACACGTGTACAATCACAGACACACAGACACACATATATTCACCCACACCTTTTATTCTGCTTAACTTTCTAGGTATGTGGTTTGACTCTATCTAACCATCCATCCGTCCACATATCGTTTAAGGGAACATCAGGAATGGTGATTGCCCGTTGCTTCCAGGGACATAACCAGCCCACGAGCAGTGGAACGTTCAGCTACCAGCTGGATGTGGCCCAGACTGAGTGAAACAGCTCTCTAGCCTCATCTAACAGACCCCCCCACTCTTAGCCAGCAGGTGACCACAGCACACATGTGCTTCAGTGACCTCATCACTGACCTTCTCGGTCTTGAGGAAGAGGGCCCGAGACAGGTAAATTTTGCTGGGTTTTGCAAAGATCCGAGCATGCAGGACTACCAGTCACTGGGCGGGCAGGACACGGGAGGAGCCACTCACAGAAGCTGAGGAGAGGTGGTGGGAGGGAGGCCTGGGCTACACGAGGGAGGAAACTGGCACCAAGTGGCAAAGACCCTTCTGCTCCGCAAGGTGCCCAGAGCCGGCCGCTGCCTAAGCTGCTGTGGGGCCCCCTCCACAGCCTTGAACGTCCAGAACCCCTCCTGCAGACACGTAATCAGAAGACCTACTGAGCCTTCCCTGCCTCCTCTGAGGTGCTGCCAGTGAGAGCAAGAAACGGGAACCGCTCTTCTTCAGTCAAAGACAGATCACGTTTTTAAAGACTGCCTGTGAGAGCATTCAGACCATTAGGTAATAGCCACTTTGTTAAGACCAGTTTGAGGACAATGGTTTTAAGTAAAGAAGGAGCATATGTATCTTAGACAGTGAAGGTCTGTCAGCATCTAGATCAGTCATTAACACCATCTTAAAAGGAATACAATAAAATATAAAAACACACAAAAGAAAAAAATAAAGGAACTTCAATGCACTTAAAAGCTTACTAACTTTCAAGATTTGTTGTTCCAAACACTCTTGGTTCAAGAATATGACAATCCACATAAATTAAATTAACTGTACAAAACAAATTTTGCCTTAGGGTATAATGTACTTAAGAATCAAATATGATTGCAAAATACACACATAAATTTTCAAAAATGAGTCTTTATCCAAAGAACTAACAGGTATCTAAGGATGACTCTAAGCATAAGGTTCTACAACGAAACTCAGCTGCTGTTTGTAAGTAAAACCACAGAGAGACCCCTCTTTTACTTACAGATGGCCAGTGTCTCTCAGAAGGTGACAGACATGGGGGCAGAAGGGCGCGGCCAGGCCGGCTCACCTGGAGGATGGACACGGTCTGGGAGAAGTGGTGCTGCTCCATCGTGGAGGTGGAGTAGAGGGCAGCCAGCGGGTGGTCGAATTTCTGCAAGTAGCTGTTGCTGAAGCCTCTGTGGTCCAGGTCATGACACAGACACGCGATGAGCAGTCCTTTGCGCTTCAAAAAATAATACAGTGCATGGATGTTCAAAACAAAGAAGCGGGACATGGGGAAACTTACAGCTTGTCATTCCTATCATGTTGACTTCTGTCACTGATACAGCTGCCATCTTCATGAATCTCTGAAATTCCAATGGCCTAACTTCTTTTTTAACCAGTTTCTTCGTTTTTGTTTTTTTTTGGTTATGAACTTGACAGTTGAATTATTCTTGAGTTTTCCCACTCAACTCTGGGAAAAAGTGTAGGTGGTATCAGATTAAAGCAAATGTTCTGAAGAATTACAGATAAGGCAAATCTGCACAAGGAGAGGCCAGTTTCAGTTTTTCATTCAAAATCCTCGTCAGTGTTAAATTCTAGCAATGTGACTGTTACTATAAAGAAGGACCGTAGCAAGTAAATCAGTCATAAGGCCTGTGAAATTGGCAAACTCTCTAGACAAAGAGCAGAGCAGCGAGGGCGCTGGTGGGAGGCGGGTGGGGTAGGAAGCAGGGCGGAAGGACGGTGGGGAGGGCAGGTGGGGCGGGGCTTCTGGGAGGAGAGCCCTGGGCTGGCGGGGAGCAGCGAGCAGCATCCTGGCAGGGGAACCCTACCCCATGGTCAGAGGACCAGGAAAGTGACCACCACTGTGGGGGCTGCAGGGAGACAAGGACACAGAGAATGACAGATGGGGTTGGGTAAAGATCGTATGTGTGAACCAGGGACTGATTTCAGGGTTTTTAGTAGAGGAGTGACATCCTCCAAGTGACAATTTTAAAAGGTCTCCACGCTGGCCACTGTATTGAGAACCGACTTCAGGAGGGTGAGAGAGACCGGTGGGGCGGTTTCGTGGCGATTCAGGTGAAATATAATAGAGATTCAGACCAAGGTGACAGCGATGGAGGCTTCTGAGACGAGTTCAGTTGGAAGGTTCTGCAGGCAGAGTCAACAGGATTTTCTGATGGCCTGGCTGGGAGAGGAAAGGAGGGCGGGAAGAGGGGTGATGGGGGGAGGTGTCCAGTATGACAGCCAGGTTCTGTCATTGCTGTGATGGGAAGTCACAGTGGGAGCAGGCTGAGGAGAGCTCAGGAGTTTGGTTTTGGATGAAGGCGCGATGTCCAGTTGACAGGAAGAGTTAAATGTTTGGCTGTTTAAGTCTGACCTCAGAGGACCAGGTCTTAGTTGGAGAAGGTTAAGCGTCAGTGTACATACGGCGTTTAGGGCCACAGGGCTGCCCACCAAGGTTGAGGGCAAAACAGGTCAAAAGAGGTCAAAGGTCTGAGCCCTCACTCAAGTATTCCAACTTTAAAAAGTCAGAAGGAAGAGAAAAAGTCAGGAAAAGAAAAAAAAACAAGCACAAGGAGGAGCAGTCAGCGTGGTCAGAGGAATCGGAGAGCCCTGGGGTCCTAGGAGCCACAGGAAGACAGTGGCTCAAAGAGGAAAGCTGAGCACTGACCCCCGGACCCGGCAAGGTGCCTGGACCAGGGCACTGTCTGCGGTGTGGGGGTCAGAGGCCTGGTCAGAGCTGCTGTTAGAGAAAGAGGGAGGAGAGGCATGGGAGCCAGCCAGCACAGCAACTCCACCCAGGGTCTGCAGCAAAGAAGAGCCTAGAAGTCAGGAGGGAGCCAAGCGGAGGGGCAGGAGGAGGGGGCGTGCTGAGGTGGACATAACAGCACACGGTCCAGGGGAGCAGGATGAGCTAACGCAGGAGAGGCGGGGAACTGCCAGGGCGCCCTCCTCTGAGACAAGGTCAAGTGGAAGGCCGGCTCTGGAGAGGAGCCTGAGGAATCACTCTGGGTTGTGTCAAGTCAGAGCCCGCTCGGGGCAGATGCAGATGGTGGTGGGGCATGGGGTCTGCAAAAGTCCCCACAGGTGTCTCTGTACCTGTGTGTCCTGCTCCTGTCCTCCCCCCGCTGAGCAGTACTGGTTTCTCCTGCAGCCCAAATGGGCAGAGAGGTCTCCCCGGCCACCATCACCCCTAAACTGACGACCTTTGCAGGTGACCAACTCTACGTGCTCAGACGTCTTAAGACAACTCAATTAGTTCAATTAGTTCTGTTCTGAGGGTCATTTTGTTCGGGGCTCTTCCCATATTTTATGCTGCTAGGTCAACCATGATGAGTCTAGTAAGAAATTTCAAGGTTTTAAAATCTCGCACAATAGAGAAAAGTTTTCTGATTTTGTAAACCTCTTTTTTTTTATTAATATAACGTTGAATGGTTTTATTAAATGTATGCCAGAATCAAGCATCTGAAAATAATTTATAAAATAATTATTTTGTTAAACATTTTCCTTTAACAAGATCAAATAACAATTTCTAAAGCTCTGTCAGAAATTAGATCTCCTCCTTATAGAATATATTTTAAATATTGATGTATGTTATTTGGGGATGATTTTTAGCCAAAAAGACATGAGCTTTTGGAGAAACATAATGAACTAGGAACTCAAATGAGAGTCAATATGTAGTAACGAAATTTTTCTCACGTATGTTAAAATTTTCCATTTTTGAAAATAAATGTTAATGTCATCTGAAACTATAATCCACAGTTCTCAAACTTACAGGCTACCTTTTGGCAGAGAAGATAATGAAATCACTTTCTTGAGAAGGACTGAATGAAGAAAATACTGAAATTCTCGAAATTATAGGATTCAATGGAAGGGAAAATTGGAAAAATTTATATTAAAAAATAACAAATTTTATCCTTTGTTGTGTATAATAAATAATAAATTATTTATTAGGCTAAGCCCCATCTAAACATTATTACTAAAAAAGGAACGTTTTTGACTTCTTTAAAATGGTACTTTTTTCTAAAGTGCATCTTCCAAGTTTCCCGCCCAAACTGTGAATCTGGTCTGACAGGATGGAGAAAGGACAGGACTGGACCTCAGGAGCCCTGGGTTCTGGTGTGAATGTGACCTTGGGAGAAGCACAGTTTCTTCACCACAGAGATGGTGGCCCCCTTCTCTGCATGGCCGCACGCCCTGGAGCGCGCCATCAGCTCCACCCAGGAGGGGGAAGGGTGCCTGGGGTCCGGGCTTTCCAGCCCCACGGGGCGGAGGGATCAGGCGGAGGGAGCACACGGCTGGGGTGAAGGAGGGGCTGGGCACGCAGGGAAGGGTTCGCCGGTGGTGCGTGAGCGGACGGACGGACGAGGCGGGCCCAAGTCTCTGAGTGTGTCACCAGCTCTAAGCACAGAAAGTCTGGTAAATCAGTGAGACACCACAGAGCCGCTGTTTCCTTATGCTAGAGAAGATCAAATACGCTTTTAAATGTATTGGAGGCTCTTGTCCTCAGAGGAGTAAAGCACGACTACATTATCCAGGGCACAGGGCAAAGAGAACACTTTGTTTACATCCCTTCAGAGGACTGAGCTTTAATAGGGAAGGAAGACTACAAAAACGAGTGTTTCCTTGAGGAATATTTTGGTGACATTGGAATTTCTGTATCTACATTTCTTATACAAAATAATAGGGAAAACGCTTGGCTATTGCAATTGGAAAAGCGTGATCTATGAATTTACTGAACCAAAGTCTGTCCTGGGGGTAACCCGTCACGTAACCGTATCGCACGTGTGTCCCAGACAGAGAGCATCTGTCTGCCACGCGAGAGGCGCGCGCGCGCGGACACGCACCTCCAGGTCGGTGAAGAGCCCGCGGTTGTTCTGCAGGATGGCGTACATGCAGTGCGCCACGGTGACCGCGTGCTTCCAGTTGTGATACGGGACCCGGCGGTAGTTTTTCTTCACAGACATGATAAATCGGCACAGCTTTTCAAGCTCAAAGCTGCGTGGAAAGGAAATGGTCATGACAGAAAGGGGTAAAGAACCAGTACATTCTAGGAGGTAAGCCTGGCTTAGAGACACACGTCTGTGCCCGCACACACTTGCGCCGGTGGAGATTTCCACAGTGACTGGATGCAGGAGCCCTGGGGCCTCCTCACCACCTCTCTCGGTCTCTCCAGCCAGTTCAGAGAGGAAGACGCTTTCTTGCTTCTGCTGCGCTGCAGGAACTGGCCCACCAGGGAGCAGATCCCGGGTCAGCCCGCGGTCACCCAGCATCAACTCCCACCACCCGCTTATCTTTCAGGCATCTCCTACATCCCACGGTGCTCAGCAGACAACAACATATTACCATCCTGTTCCAGGGTATTTTTAGCTAATTTTTTCCAAGAAGCATATTCAGATTCACAGACTGCAAATATGCATACCGTAAGAATCTTCTAGATGAGTGCACTCAAATTACCAAGTGTACCTGATCAAGACCCTGACTCGGTACAGGAAAGAACATGACATATACATTTTATCATACCATGAAGTTACGAGTTTTTCTATTTAACATGTATTTAGACTTATCGAAGGCCCTACCAACTCTCAATGGATTTAAGGCAGCTTAAAACAAAAGCGTATCAGTATGAAAGAGGGCTCTCTCAAATACCAGAGATAAGAGTTCATACAACCTCTAACTATATGTAACCTTTATTTTTCCTCACCGAAAACTGTCAAATGTCCCTGAAGGTATGTCATTATTAAGAGTTTCAACTGGTCAAGCTCTCAACTGCTATCTAAGAAGTAAGTGTATTAGTTGTCCTGTGTGCATCCTTTGGAAACAATAATTTATAAAAGTCACTGATAGAAGGGAAAACACAGAATTCCACAGGAAAGGAGCGACAATTTAGTTCTAGCAATACTGAGAGCCTCTATAAGCCACTTCATGACTTAATTAGTAAAAAAGAGAAAAAGAAAATTATTCTTTGCATTTTATGTATGTAAATGCTTAAATATTTAAGCTGTAAAAACACAGATGCAAAGCCATGAAAGGCCTCTGGGACAGGCCACAGTGAGAGGAGAGAGGTTTGCAATCAAAGGGCAACAGAACCTCATTACTAACAAAGCACTAGGCTTTGAATTAGGAGACCTGTTTCTTTCACACCTGTTTTAACTGATACGCTATGTAGGACGAAAGTTGATGCTAAATGTATGTATATATTCCAAACACACCTAAAATAGTGCGTGATTATGTGGAAAAGTAACCTCATCTCTTTTGGTTGAATCTATATTCGTATGATCACCTGGTTCGACACGTGGTGGTTAACCGCGTGGCAGCCTCTGAGGGAGATCAAAAAAAGGCTGTACATTTGCCCAACATTGTAGTCTTTCCTAATTTCATGATTTAGAAGAGACAGTTTACATACGGCATTATTTTAAGGTAATTATCCACCAGGAGAGTGGCAAGGCATGTAGGCAGGGGGAGGAAGCGGTCTCACTACTCAGTATTTTAAAAAGGAAGTTTATAGGTCATTCATACCAGGATGTCCCACAGGACCGATGGATCATGTGGACAAAAATCCCAGGCCACATGTTCTCAAAAGGACCAATGTCAAAGTGGAACCTGAAATAAAAACAAAGTAGTTTACTAGGGAATGTAATTAATTAGAATAAACATAATAACAAGTAAAGAAAGTAATTCAACTTTTTGTCTGTCAAGAAACTAAAACAACACTGGGAGTTAAGCCGTCTCTTTTCCTGTCTCCTCAGTCACATCTCTGCTGTATCTAAAGGAGGAAATGCCACACATCCCCTTAGGAACTTGGTCCAAGATTCAAGCCATTGCTTAACTGTCTATTAAACAATCTGTAAAAAAGGAAGCTGCGGTTGTTATCAGAGCAATGAAAAGGTATAAAATAATTATATTATTAATACCACACATATAGTATATAAGTTGAGATAAGGGGGGAAATCTTATCTGAGATTCTTTTTAGAGTTGAAAATTATTGTTTCCTATTTTAACACAGAAAAAATTTCATAAATAGTAACACCCAAAGTTATCACCTACTTTTTCATATGCTAATTTAGTTACTAACATTTAACCCAAATAAACAGAATAGTAAAGTATTAAAAAAAACACAAACTTCCTCTAGTTACAACACTTCTGACACCAAATGTGTGAGTTTTCCAAACCAAGCAATTCTCCAATTCTCAGCAGACATCAACTGATTTCGTTCAATTCAGTTCAATTCTGACGCTACCTGGAGTTCACGCAGAACCCACAGGGTAACAGGGCTCAGTCCCACAAGACAGACCGTCACCCCCCCCCCACCATGAACGCCAACTGCAAGTCCAGCCACCAACACTGCTCCTCAATGGGCTGTGAACTGGAGGCTCAGGTCAGATAATGCTCGAGAGCAGCTCCAGAACTCAGGGCAGCACTTGAGTTACTCCTGGTTTATTATGGAGACACAACTCGGGAACAGCTGTGAAGGAAAAACCGGGCTGGTCTAACAAGATAACTCACAGGTCTAGGAATGTGAGGAGAGGCTGGGCTGGGCTAACAAGGTAACTCACAAATCTAAGTACTGGAATACTGATCTGAGTTCTGCTAGACTAACTTGCAAATCAAGGTTAATTAGTGTTGGTTTTCTGTTCATGTTTTTTTGCTAGCCAGCTAGATTTTCAAAGATATATATCTGGCTTTGGAATGTTGGTTTGCTGCCTCCACGCCTCCACTTTTGTGATGATAATGCTGCTAAAGCTGTCCCATGCCTATTGGCCGAATACCCCAAGCTTGTACTTTACCCTATAAAACCTCACGCGCATGTCTTGGAGGTGCTCAGAGCTTCGGAGCAGAAGCCCCTCTGAGCCCGCCGGCGTAATACATCTGAGTACTCCAAACCTCCGAGTGGTGCTTGTTTCTTGACTGGCCTGTCGTTTCCGTAACACAGCCACATGGAAGGGATGAACATGTGGGAGAGGGCGCGGCGCCCCGCGCTCTCCAGGGGCACCCACTGCCCAGCACCTGATGTGCTCACACCTGGATGTTCTCTGCACTCCTTGGTTAGGGTTTTTTTTTTTAGAGATTCCATTACCAGTAAAACATTGGTCATCAGAGATTAACTTAATCGCAGGCCCTCTCCCTGGAAAGGAGTCCAAGGGTGGGGTTGAAATTCCAGCCCTCTAGTCACAGGTTGGTTTCTCTGGCAAACAGCCCTCACCCTCCCAGAGTCATTCCTCAGACAAAGCTCACTTATGGTTGAATAACAAAAGACACTGTAAGGGTAAAGGAGCTCTGTCCCGGGAGCTGGCTACAAAGACTGCAGTCAGATATTCCCCATTGTGTCACAAATATGCACTGTATATATAAACTGCTAAAAGAGAAACCGAGACAAACCGAAAATCTTCAGAGTTTATTTGAGCAAAACCCCACTTGAATAGGGCAGCACCCACTTACAGTGGTTGGGAGCACTTTGCTCACAGGAGCCAAGGAAACATCTCTGTAGAGGAGATGCAGAGAAGCTAACTGAGTGGCTACCGCTTAAAGCCTAATTGGCTGTTTGGGACTGGCTGCCTTCAGCATTTCCATCTGTGACCCTGAGGCATTTACAAGTTTAGATTCCGTTTGTTTATTGGACCACTTGGGCGTTAGTCACATCGGTCTAATGGCCTCCTTGTATAATTAACTTAGCAATACTATATCTGTATTACCAATTATAAACAAAAATCAGCTCTGGCTCACTTTTGAAGATTTAAAGATTTTTTATGTCGTTGAACAGTGTTGGCTTGCACTTATAATGCGCAGGTCCCACTGAGACAGGAGGGAAGGGGACAGGGCACAATCATTAAAAGGATGACACAACTGAGGATACAGTGTAAACTGGTTAGAACCGAGAAGGCAGAAGATTTGACCTCCAGTAGACCCTGAGCCTCACGGCACACCCGAGGCACCACGACAGCTCCGAGGCGGTGGCCCAGTTCCTGGGAATCCGCAGCCCTTCCTGAGCACAGCTGGAGTAGTCCTTCTGCTCCTGAGCATATGAAGTTACGGAGCCCACAAGCCCTAACAGCCCCACATCTCGCGACCTCTCTCTTGCCCTCTGAGAAGACTCGCACCCTGTCTGTCTGTGGAGTGTGTATCTACTTTCACTTCAAACTATTCACCCCCACACCTCACGGCCTCTCATCTTCTGAGATGGCCCAAGTTCTGCCTATGGAATTGCACCTCCCAGGCTGCTCTCACTTTACAGGACGGCCCCTTCCCCCGGGCTGCCTCTTCCGCCTTCAGAGTGCGAGACAACCCGTGCTCTGTTCAAGGAGTACCTCCGAGTAAACCTGCTTTTACTCAGCTATGGCTCGCTCTTGAATTCTTTCCTGAGCAAAGCCAAGGACCCTCACTTGGGAGGGGGGCGCATCCCAGGGATCCGTCCAAGACCTGGGACACGGCTATCCTCTCGCCCCGTTTTCCTACGACACTACCGCCCGTAGCAAATATGTTAGCATAGGATTAGAAACAAAGTGTGAAAGCTGAACTGTTTGTTACTAAATTCTCAAACTTAATTTGTAAACTTAAAATCACATGGAAATGAAAACTTTTAGATAACTGATACCAAATGCCATTTTGAATATTAAATATTACATCATGTAAAGTATGCAAAAGACTAATGAGAAAAGCTAACATTCATGTTAACTCATTTCAAAATGGTGTTCAGACTTTTTTTTTTAAAGATGACGAGATCTGGCCTTTCCTTCCTTAGAAGGGGAAAATGGCAACACATGAACCCACGCACGTCACATGACACTTACGATTCTAATTCTATAACCCATTTCACTTTAAACGCAACCATATTAAAAATCTGCTCCTGAAGAAACAGACAAAGCACTCACAGTTCAATCTCTTTGCAGAGGCGGCCGGGCAGGCTGAAGTGCATGAGACCCTGCCACTCCTCGGCCGTGCAGATGCTGTGGTAGGACAGCTTCTCCATGGTGACCCGGTAGATGCACTCCGAGTGCCGGATCCTGTGATACATCTGCAGGGCACAGCCAGGGCGCGAAAAGTAAAGAGCGTTTAAAAAGTTCTGCCATTAAAGTCCAGAGGTTGGTATCAAAGAATCAGAACAATACCTGAACTCACCATTACCATCCACTAACTGCCCCTACTGTGTACTTCCACGTACCCTGCAAAGACACCCACATATGTGGCTTTGAAGATACACACAGTGTCTTAAAAATTACATCTCCATTTTAAAAGACTTATTATCAAGCATCCTCTCTAAGTAGTGAGATTACCTGGTGTTTATCTAATGACACCTTATTCTTGGGCTCCAGACCCAGAATTGGAGAAATAAATGTCTGCTGTTTATAAGCCACCCAGTCCGCGCTGTTTTATTACAGCAGCCCAAATGGATTAGGACAGAAACCAAATGAGCCAAGAGTTAAGGTATTTTTCTATGACTCCTTTTAAAAATATTTAGCTTATTTCTTAGTGATCTCAAAGTCCTCTAGTCCAGGGAGTTTGAAAAATGTTTGATTGTAAAATGCTTTATTGGTAAAACAAATCTGGAGACAGATGTATAATAAACGTGGATTCCTTTAGCGACTGTGCGCACGTGGGATGTGCTGCTATATTGCTTATATGATAACACATAAACTAAAATAGAAATTAAAAAAAGTATTTTTAAAATATTTAATTTTATTTAATGAACAAGACTTTTTGTTCTTACTAAACAATTATATATTTTGAAATGAAGCACTGTAATTATGTTATCAATTTTCAAATTTTTTTCTTTAATACTTTGTGAAATGGCTAACATTAAGTTCTGTTTCAGTTTACTTCAATACTTAGAAATAGTTGTACTATTTGAGAAAAATATGCCAAAAAGTATGTGGATCCAAGTGGAATAAACGTAGTAGCAATTGTTCTTAAACATCACACTTCCAAGTTTTGTTCCCTAATCACTAATATTTTTGACTGAAATTCAGATAAATTTCCATTTTCCGTGATGTCAATCAGTTAACTTTGCAAACTATTCAGCTGCATCTTTATACATTATCAAACAAGTTCAAAAACAGTGACAATGAAATTCTTCATGGGGAAGATTTTAATAAGTGAAAAGCTGCTTCATAAAATAAAATTTTAAAAAAATCCCACTTTAAATGAAGACAGAGAACTAAAAGGAAATAAAGAACAGATGGAACAAATAGAAAAAACACATACCAAGATGGTGGATTTACACCTAAACATAACATGTGCCTGGTCTAAGTATCCCCACTGAAAGGAAAAAACTGTCTGATTGACTAGAAAAGCAAAACCCAACTTACGCTGTTTACAAGAAGCCTCTACAAACAGGATAAAAGTAAAAGGCTGGAAAAGACATACCATTTAACACCAGTCTAGAGAAAGTTGGAATGGCTGTATAAATATCAAGTAAGTAGATTTCAGAGCAAAGACCATAACTAGGGATAAAGATCATTTATCATTTCAAATGACAAAGGGTCAGGTCGTCAGGAGAACATCACACTCCTAAGCGTACACGGCTGGCTGGTCTGCAGCAGGGCCGCCGAGGGGAGGCGGAGGAGGGGGAGAGTCCGTGCACCCACAGGTGCTGGGGCAGGACAGCTGGATGCCCGTGTGCAAAATAAACACATGGATGTGGGGCCTTGCCTTGCACCACGTCTCAAAATTTTTTAGTAAATTGAGTCACAGACCTAAATGCAGAACCTGAAACTGTAAAACTTCTAGAAGACAACATAGGAGAAAATCTTTCTGACCTTAGGTTAGGCAAATATTTCTTTGATGCAATGTTGACAGCATGATCATAAACAGAAAAACTCATAAATTAGACTTCTTTAAAATTAAGAACTGCTCTTAGAAAGAAACTGTTAAGAGAATGACAAGACAAGCCAAACACTGGGAGCAAATATTTGCAAATCACCAGTCTGACAGACGACTTGTATCAAGAATATATAAAGAACTATCAAAACTCAGAGATTTAAAAAAAAATCATAAACGAAAAATAGGCAAACGATTTGACCTTCCACCCCAGAAGACACAGAGGCAGCAAAGGTGGAGGAGCGGGGACACACGCTGACGCTGGGAGCGAGCAAGGGCACAGTCACTCTGGAAAGCAGTTGGGCAGTTTCTTAAACACCCCCACCATCTGATCCCCAATCCTACATCTCAGTGTCTACTCAGGGGAAGCAACGCAGATGCCCAAAGACTTGTGCACAGCCGTTCACCGCAGCTTTACTGTAACAGCCAAAACCTAGAAATAACTCAAATGCCCATCAACAGGTGACTAAATAAACAGCTCGCAGTACATCCGTACAATGGAATACTGAGCAATAAAGAATGAACTATTTACACGCGACGTCATGGACAAATCTCAAAATAATTATGCTAGGTGAAAGAAGCCAGACAAAAAGGAACAGAGAATTTATGATTCGACTTATAAAAAATAATCGTAGAAAATGCAAAGTACGTATAGAAAGTAGATCGTGGCCACCTGAGCCTGGGGGGTGAAGATGGGGTGGGGCAGGTGGGAGGGTCCACAGAGGAGCACTCAGCAATCGTGTAGGTGGGTGGCTGCATCTGTCACCCTGTCTGCAGTGATGGTTTCCCTGAGTGGGGTTATACACCCCTGCCAACGATGCACTCTCTAAACACGTGCAGTTTAGTGTATTTACAAACCTCAGTAAAGCTTTGAAAAAAGTTTCGCTCCCAGTCTTCGTAAAGGTTTATGATAGTTTGTATATCTGACACATACATTTCAGCAAAGAAGTCACATAACGGTGACGAAATACCTGCAAACACCCATTTTCGAAATGCTCCGTGTGCAAAGCAGGCATTTCTTCGGAAAAGCAAGTATCTTTTTATTCAGTGTTAATGCTACCTGAAATCTGAAGGTTCAGATTAAATGCTGTTTATTTTTTGAATACACCTTCTAAGTATCGAGACATTGTCATCTGCCATCAGAAAAGATCAGCAAATCTTTCTGTAAAAGAAATAGGTGTAAATAATCAGTGGATTCCACAGCTATTCCAAGCACTTTGCCACAAGCAGCAATCCTAGGGGGCTCGATGGCAATGAATGTCCAGAGCAGAGGGGTCCTGCTAACACAGCTGAGGAAGAGCCTGGACCGGGTTTAAAAGTGCAGACTGGACCCCACCATCACCTCTTCCTCCTTTTAGAAGCCCATCTGTCTCAGGAGACCGCATCCTGGACAAGACACAACCACTGATGCATGAACTTGATGAAAGCTGCATCCACGTATCAACAATCCGGGAAAAGCAGCTTCTCCAATGTCATTTACCTAAAAACACATCTACATAGAGGTTCTCACACTTCCCTCCTACCCCTAGTGGAATGCCACTTGCTCCCACTCACGAGGGTGCTGTAGGTTCTGGTAGGACGGGGAAGAGTCAACAGGGTTTACTTGGGATTTACAGTAATTCTGAGAGACAGTTCTAGGAAAAGGAGCTACTCTGGGCAGCAAGCAACATTGCTGCTACGGTCGTCAATACCACTAAGCACCTCCTCTGGCAGGCAGGTTTCTAAGTGCCTTTCACACACCGTTTCATGTCATCCTCACAAAAATACTCTACTTTTTAACATTTTACAAGCGTATGACCTCCAATTAGACTAAATTATACTTTTATTTATAAACTTATATTTATAATTTTTATAAATGTTTGTAAATATATAAATTATGAAATTTAAATTTTATTTATATTTTATTTTGTCATCAGTGTAGGTAAGTAACAGGAATTTTTACTTTACAGCAAAAAATAATTATTCGGGAAAATTTTATAGATACTTTAGTCCTTGTTTTTAAATGACTTTCAATATGAATAGTAGAAAATCATATAATATTATTAGTAAATGATGTTACCTTGTTCATTGTCCTGTGAATTATTAATGAGGGTAGAAAACCATGCTGTCTTTTTAAGTTGATTTGCACCATGATTTGTCTACGGGAACTGAATAATCAGCCTTGGACTCACTGTCCAGCGGGAAGAGGTGCCGGGGAGGCAGCTGCCTTTTATTCTGACGGTGTATCTTAGGCACGAACATATGGAAAAGGCACAGAAGACAGAAGAAAGATGACCTGGAATCAGGAATATAACTTCCATGTTTCTCCGACATGGTGAAAACACAACCATTGTAACTGCACAGAAGGGCGTCTCTACTTACTGGCAGACAAGGACATTCCGTTAGCGATGCTTCAGAGTGTCTTTCTTGGCCTATCTCTACAATAATCACCACCGTCTAGAAACGGTGGTGTTGCGAGGACCCCCTGACACTGATGTTCACAGTGGGCGCAGTCACTTCAGGGCGAAGCGACGAAGAGCCCGACCCCGGCCCGGCCGCCTGCGCGGCGTCTCCTCTGCAGCACTCACCGCCTGCCCACCGGGGGCCGGGCGCTCAGCTCTCC